ATATATATAAAATTAATATATGTAATAAAATATTAATATATAACATATCGAGAATAATCCTCAATATCTGAGAGATGATCTTACCGCTGAAATTTGATCTCTATCAAACATCCATTCGTGCAGCTTAATCTCTTTTCGATATAAAGAATAAGAAAAAAGAAAACTCTTACACACTCTTATTAAGCACTCTATTAGGTACTCTTATTAAAACTTATAATTTTAATGCAACAAAAATTTATATTGATTGAAACCTTTTCGTATTACAAGAATACCGTGCATTCCCGTCGTCACAAATAGATGGAAAATATTAGGTATGACTTATTATTGACGATTTATTCCCAATAAAGATATCGTTACCAAGCTCGATGACAAGAAGTCTGAAAAAAGCGTGCGACTTTCAAATCAAAGTTGAAAGTTTTCAACTTTGATTTCTTAATCAGACAGTAGGAAGTCGGGGATCTAATTTGAAGGTCGACAACCTCTATATTTATAAACTAACTGGGCCAATTTAACATTGAAAAGAGGTAATGAAGAAAACACAATTGACCTTGAAACTAATGGCCAGGTTTGAATTGGATAGAAGATCGCAGAATCCGAAGTGGACATAGTAGACTGGGTAGACACGCGAGTAGATGACGACGACGACGACGACGTGGAGCAACATCACGGCTATCAGTGCCGTGTTGCGTGGCTGAAGGAGCCCAGGGTATATGTACGGCGTATTAATAGCCAAGTATAGAGCGGTGGTGGGGCCGCGGTTGCTCCCGGGTGAAAATAGAAAAGAATGTTTTTGGAATCCAATTGGACTTGGTTGGCAGAACGATGGGGCAATATGGCCGACTTGGCCGAGCGGGTGGACGATCTGATATGCAGTTTCGACTCGACTGGTGAAACGACCATGGATACGCTATCGATGCTGATATTCGGCTGGATGTTGTTCGGTCTGGTGGTGTTGTGCGTTGGCAAATATGTGTACAATCGTTTCGTGCTGAACGAGCTCACCGCCGCCGCCACCGCCGCCGCTGCCACTGCCGCCGTCGCCTCATCATCATCATCGTCGTCGTCGTCACCGCAGCTCGGCAAGGATAGTGGCCATGAGAGTGTCGTGACGACGAGTACCGCTGGTACCATTGTTGGAAGACTGTTTAACAAGTCCAAATTGGTATCACCGTCGTCATCATCATCGCTCGTTAGTAGATCTGGTACCGGTGGTGCAGGTGGTGGCGCGGGTACCATTAGTGTTGGCAGTGGCGGCGGTGGTACCGTTAGTGCTGCTGCTGTTGCTGCTGCTGGCAGTGGTGGTGGTGGTGGTGGTGGTGGTAGTGGTACCAGTGCGGTAGCAGGTGCGAGATCTCCGTCGCCGGGCTACGTGCCGCCCACGCCGCCGATCAGGAAACGATTGACCCGGAAGACCTCCGGTGCTTTCATCAGCCCGTCTCGAAGTTCCAGGGCACTGCATCTTCCGACCGCGACTGGCGCCGATGCCGAGGCAGTGCGTTGGGTTAACGAACTGATCGTGTGGCTTCATCACGATCTCGTCATCCTCAATGAACTCTTGGCCACTTGGGTGGTTTCCCTTAACGATTTTACTGTCGGTTCCACGGACGAGGTGAGACGACAAGAGTAAAACGTCGATTATCATCGTTTCAAATTCTTAATTTGGTTCGCCATAAAATACGTAGCGCAGACTTTTCATAGAAATTTGATTTCGAAATTAGCGCGAATTTTAAGATTTAAGTTTTAAATCGCAAAGAGAGAAGGGTGGAGGGAGGAATTCTATAAATTTAATAATCAGATTCGTCACGCTCGATAAGACGAGATACAAACTCTTCCCGAGACATAGACGAAAAGAGAAGGGGACACACACTTGTGTTGCGTGCGAATGCAATGATTTCGAGTCTTGGTCAAACGCTCGAGCAGAATATATATTTCTTCTTATTGTTAGATATCACGTTTTAAGTTTAAGTTACAACAAAATAGAGAATATCATTCGTTTTATTTTCTTTCCAATTAGGAAACACATCTTCAGATATCTTGAGCAAATTTAATCTTGCGTTTGATATAATTAATTACTCGCCGCGGTTATTCTGTTCAAACGATCTGTGCGTTTGAAATTATCGTCTCATAATCCATAACTTTAGTATAAATTGCAAGCATTATTGAATCACAAAAATTCAATGCGCTCTCAATTATTTCATTTACTTCAAATCATCCCATCATTTGTTCGCTTCGTAAAAAATTACGAATTAAACATATATATCTGTGTATATACCTTGTATGTATACTTTCTATTTTTGTCGTTTTTTCACAACAATACTTAACGTACAGTACTTAATGTCAATAAATACATTAATGAATTAAATGCGTAAACAAATTGAAAATTAAAAGCTATCGTCGTAAGTGATATAATATCTCTATACATTGACAATAATTTCGGCAGCTATAAATAAGAAAATATCATAATTAATATCTTGCGGTAAAATCGGAATCTCGCGTGATTTTTTTTTTGCCTGTATAGACAGAATATTTTTTGATTATTTACATAGGTCAAGATAAGTCACATCAAAGATTACTATAATAGTATTGCTTAAAAAGGCGTTGGATGCTGTCCTTGTCACGCGTAGCCGATGAGATAATTTTGTTGAGATAATTTAAAATTTCTTTGAGCGTCGAATCAAATTTTAGTTTAACTTAATTAATAGTTTATCGTGCAACAATTATAAATTTACAATCTAACTTGAAATTTTTTCACGTTACGACGTAATGCATTATAATATGTCAATAGGTATAAAAAATTATATATTATATATTAATATATTATATT